GCGATGTGCTGGGCCTACAAGGCACAAATGAGCCCTCATTTTGAGCCTGATTCTGACACACTTTCTCACACTTAATAGCACCTTACTCCACAAGTAATCCCACTGAAATCACTGGCACTACCAAGCAATTAAGGGACTACTCAATAAATGGATTGCCAATTTATTATCATTTAGGAAAAAAATAACTTAAGTCCCTGTTGGAAAGTTGTGTAACAGAGAACTGGATACTACTAGATATAAAAAAGAAGTCAGATAGGATAAACTAGAGAAAGATGGAGCTGGACTGCTTACTCCTTTGTGCAGTCATTTACCACCTGTGCAAAACACTGCCAATGAGTTTTACACTCACTCTGCATGAGTGTAATGAAGAGGGAACTCAAACCCTTTGTCTCTAGACACTGATGTATTATAAAAACCATGCGCAAATGAAAAGGAAACACTTTAATAAACTTAAAGAGAATAGAATAGAGGAAAGAATTCACTTAGATGTTACATATTTGAAACCAGAATATATACTTTCACACTTCTGCTAAGGGTTTTTTGTGTTTGTTTCTTTGCTACCATAAATGTAGGGAAAGAAAGATTGTGTTACAATACTGTATTGACTTTTTCATCTCGCCTATAGAAGTAGCAGTCATTTTAAAAAGTTATGGTCTTGTAATGAGAAAAAATCTAATGCTTACCTGTATTTTAATGGCTGGATAATTAAATGTACTTAATTTGAAAACACTAAATTATTTAATGCAATACAGTTACAATACTAGTCAACATAGTTATATTCGTCATCATATCTATATCATAGTGATTAGTTGCTTTATTGATAAAACACTTCCAGAATGTAATGAAAAGGTTTACATAATGTAATTGCAATAAAGACCTACAATTTTGAAAAGAATTTGAAATATTTTATTTAAATTCAACAGTACTGTCACAATTTGGCTATTGTCATCAAACTAAAAACTTAACAGGCTCCCTTCAAACAAAATCAATGAGGAATCATTTTCTATAGTAAAATGATCAGTATCATCTATTTTGGATAGTCATGACATGGATATATTTAATTTGAATTGTCTACATAACAATTTTGATGGTGCTATTTTAGGATAAAAAAACCTTCCATCAAATCATTGCTCTGCCTAAACTGCTATTAGATATAGCTAATAGCAATTCAATGTGGTCAAGGACATACTGAAAATGTACCATTATGTAACTAGCAGGCATATGGCCTTAAATACATCTTTTAACTTTATTTGCACACACTGAGCTTCACATTCTGTTTTTAACTGCTGATGAAGTTTGGGTGAACATTTAAGTTGCTTGACTGACAGTCTGTTTATTATTTAACCTTTTTATTGGACTTCTAAAGAAATGTATCAAATATTTACCAATCTGAATCTCCCTACAGCAAAGCAGACAACAAATATCTCCACGTATACAGTTAGTACTATTAGCCTATTTACGTTAAAGAAGAATAGTATGTTTGAATAATGTATTTTTCCACAGTGGTTCCAGGGTGCTAATTTGTTGGCCAACTTCAAAAATAATTCTATAATGTAATTATACACATAATAAATGTGCTATATTTAGTACAAAGTCACATATGGTGAAGAACATATCAAAGTATCAGTTAAAATAGATTCTCAAGTCATCTGATCTTCAGAAGTATGTGTTGAAACATACTTGTAGATTCACAAGGGGGACTTAAGTCTAAGTCCAACATGTAGGCACCACTGGAATTCACAAAACCACCACTCAGCTGCCACCTAACCTTGTAGGCACCTAAAGTCCCAATGTGCCGAAATTTCCATCAGTGGGCATGTGCACAACCATTAAAGTCCTGACACCACTGAGCTGCTTGGTGCCTGACTCATGCCTAAGCTCTGGAGGGATTCACAAATTTGGCATTTTCCTACTTGTCTTATCTACCGGGCCTGATCTGGCACACATGCTCAGAGCTTGCCTAACCTGGACAAAAGAAAGGAGGAGGAAGTGATTGTATGACTGTACCCAATAGCCCTGAGGTTAGGGCACACCACTATGAGGTAGGAAATCCAAGTTCACATCCCTGATTTAGAGTAGGAACTTGAATCCATGTTTCTCACCTCTCAGGTAAGCACTGCAACACCTGGGCTTTTGAGTATAAAAAGTGGTTTGTTTTCATTCCCTTGTGAGAATAGGGCTGACCTGGCTTAGGCACTTAACTCCAGGAGAGGATTCACAGCTATGAATCCCAAACAGTGATAGGCATCTCTCTTGGGCCTGGAGTGAGGTGTTTAACTCTGGGAGAGGGTGGGGCTTAGTCTCCTTGGCATTTCCTACTATCTAATTTAGGCAGCTCTGTGCTCAGCATGCTGGCTTTTGTGAACCCCTTTCTTAGGTGCCTGTAATGGGGTGTGCTCTCCACACTGGCCCTGAGAGAGTTGAATTAGGCCATGTGGAGGGCACTAATTAGGAGGCAGCTCACCTGTGAGAGAACAGGCAGGGCTTCTATAAAGCCAGGAGGCTGGCAGCAGCAGGGAGGAAGCTTGTAGTCTCTTTCCCTGAGTTAAGGTCCTATTGGGTTCCGGGAAGTGGGCCGGCACAAGCCCGCCCATTGCTAAAGGACCCTCCCCCAGCCTTAGGGGAGGATCCATAAAGTCCAGGAACTCAAATAATTACAGGGGACAACCAAAAATGTAGCAAGGGCAGGTGTGAAGGTCAAAGGGTCAAACAAAGGGAACCTGAAAGGGACACCAAGCAGAGAACCCTGGACAGCTCCCACTGCTCCTTGAAGGTGTCAAGGGAGCCAGCGGATGCCGCCCAGAGGAACTCTGGCCGGATGCATGAGTGAAGGCAGGATCAGATAGACCCCACAGTTGCAGGAAACCCACTCAGCCAACCTCCTCTCCCTGGTCTTATATATGGCTACTTTGGCCGGCACTAGGAGGAGGTTGACAAGGAGGTCCCACAATCCCTGAGTTAAGGTAGAAGGAAGGGAAGATAGGAACCCCTGAGAAAAGGTATAGGAACCTAGAGGAAGGGTTTATCTAATAGGCCTAAGAGAGAGGGGTCCGACTAGGAAGGCTGGAGAATGAAAAGCTTAAAGACAAACGGTAGGAAGTAGTCCAGGGTGAGAGCAGTAAAGTAGATGTAGCAGCAGAACTTAACAGCTTGCTGTAGGGCCCTGGATTGGAACCCAGAGTAGAGCGCAGGCCTGGGTTCCCCTGCCATCCACTGTTAAGTGGTATTGCTAGGGGCAATGAAGGGAAAGACTGCCTGAGTCATTGCAGGACTGATGTAGTCAGGGTGGTAGGCATGAGGACTGCCCGACACTGCTGGTGCAGAAGGACTTTGAAAGACTCCCCTGGAAGGAGAAATCACAGTGTGACGTGGCTGGAGGACCAAGTCATGAAGCAGCTGTATCATGACCCCATGAGCAGGAGGAGACCTTCAATGGGGAATGAGAAGAAAGGGGGCACTGAACTGGGTAGAGCTAATCCGCAGAATCACCAGAGAAGGTGCCACCCAGGTGTGAGTAGAGCACCCCATGACAGTGCCTAACTGTCTGTATGCATTGTAAAGGAAGCCTGGGTCCCTAACTTGGGGTTGTGAATTCCACTAGGCAGTAAAGCAAGGCATCTAAAAGTTAGGTGTTGAAATGCTGTGCATTGCAATGCCTAAGGCTCCCTTGTGAACTTCGCCACAAATGAACATAAAAACCTTTCCATATATTCACCCTACATTGCTATGAAAAAGCATTGCAGTGGAGACTTAGGCGCACAGTGAGTAAAAATCCCATCAATTTAGAATAAAATGAAGGGATTGAGAAATCTCCAAAAGCTTAAAAATCACAGATCCCTTCAAACTGGTAGTATTTGCTTTACAATTTGGAACAAAATTATTGATCTCTACTGTTGACTTCACACAGAGAGGAAACTAAAGAGAAAATATATTTGATTATAATATTATAATGTTGATTTCTCGTGGGGAGGGTGATGAAGGAATTATACAGCAAGCACAAATGTGCTAAGGGACAGATTCTGCAACCTGTTGTCCATGGACCTCTGGGGGTCTGCAGCCTGTCTAAGATTTCCATTTGAAATTTTTGTAGGGGTCTGCAAATGAAAAAAGGTTGAAAACCACTGGAACAGATTGTTACTATGCAGTTAGTCGTATTGATTTCAATGGACCTACTACCAGAGTAAAGTATTATTCAGGGTAAGTGGGCGTGGCAGAAATTAGTCTTAAATTACAAGTGGTAATGAAGACTGAAAGAAGCTATTGTGAATAACCTTCTATTTACAAAAAATTTAGCCAAGTACAAAGTAAAACAGTGTGTGAAGCATGAAATTGGTGATTAATTTCTTCACTAGTACTGTACAAGATTTGGGTTGTGATCAGTAACCTGGATGGAAACATGAATGCAGTCCTATAGGTGGCATCCTCACTTTTAAACCACTCGCTAACTCCAGTTGCTATAGCAACCTGATACAGCTTTTTAAGGGGAGATTTTAACGTCATTTCAAAACTTTAATCACCATAGCAACACAATTTAGCTCTTTGAAGCATAATCGTATTTGTTGTTACGAATTTTTCATGTGTGTATCTTACTCCACTTGTATGTCTTTCCCTCTGGAAAAGACAAAAAGCATCACATTACAAAGGAAAGATGAAACGTAACCATCCTTGCTTCACTACTTCACCATGATTCAAAATACAACAAAGGCAGAAGGGTGTGGGGGGAGGGTGTGTGGACGAATTTAAAACATTTCAAAGTAACTTTTACAACCTATTTTTTATAATGGGAACTGTACTATTTTAACACACAGTGCATTAGCATTCCTTCCTTCCTGCTATTCAGCTCCACCAGTTGGGCCCCTTTGAAGCAAAGAGGTTTCCACTAGAAAGAACAGATTTCAAAATTCACGGTGGATGCATAGACGGATGAGATGAAGAACGCTGACTCGTTATTTTTAGGAAGTCAGTGTATTGCAGACTGCGTGTGAGAGAGAGAGACTTACCTATAGTTGACACTACTGTCCCCACAAAATAGAAAGCCCCAGTGAAGTCCCATCTTGGTCTTAGTGCATCTGCCCGGATGCCCGCGGCCATGGCTGCTTCATAACTCCGCAAGAAGTCCCTTAGCTCAGGCATACTGATGTTGAATATTTGGCTGAAGTTTTGGAGGGTCCTGCTCCAGCGACGCTGAGCCTCGACTTCGGACGGCCTCTCGAGGGCTGAGAACACCGTAGCTCCAGCTGCCAGATAAACTGCGATCAGGACCGCTAAGAGGAGGAATCTGCCATTGTCCTTGTTGAAATGGGACAAGCAGCAGCATCCCTGCGATCTCCTGCTAGACATCATCCAAATTTCAGCACCCCTGACCCGGCGGACAGTGACCGGCACCTCCTCGAGGACACTGGCATTGGGCTACTGTTAAATTTACGGAATCCCGAGGAAAATTTGCAGCTGGTTCATTGCAGGTGCTTCTTTTCTGAGTCATACTTAGCAAGAGCCAGGGGGGAGCCCTGAACTGCCATGCTGATTTCAGGGGCCGACGCTGCAGTAGAATACAACTAGCCTGAAGCCCAGAGGGTCCTGTGGACAATCCCCGCCTTGGCTTTTGCTTTCCTTGCAGCCACGTCTGGAGTTCCTTTTTCCTTTGAGCTCTCCACTGAGCTCTGAGCTGCAGTGGCCATTGGTTTCTGGGAAACGGCTTTGCTCCGCATCCCCATCCCCCCTGTGGCCATATTCTTTGTATCCGGCCTGCCACCCGCTGGCAGACACGGTCTGTCTGGCCTTCTCTTTGGGGGAAAGGTATTGATTTCAGGAGCGCTGGTTTTTGGTAGCCAGGGTGAATGGAGTCCAATGTGCTCTCATTCCAATTAACAACTGTTTGGTCATGATGTATTCAATGCAATAGCTGGTGTTCGCCAAACAATACTACTTACATCACGCTGTCTTACGGTTTTATTTGCAAAGCTCCCACCAGACGTATCCCTGTCTGTTCCCCTTCTTCTGGGGTATTTTCCCGGGCAACAGATCCCTTAAATTCCGCATCTAAAAAGTATCCACTGTGAGTCCATATGTCCATATACAAATCGCTGCATCGTGCTTACAGGCATTCATCAGTGTCCCCTGAGACCAGTGGCGGTGGTTAGGGATCAGCTGCGTTTACAGCAATCTTGATTCTGTCGGAGCTCCGGGTTTGGCAAACACCGGGAGTCTGGCTTTCAGCTTCGCTGTTCCATCATGCGCACTTCTCCTCTGCATTTGCTCAGATTTTTTTGCTTTCATTTCGCTGGGTGGAAATGCGATCACACCTTTCTGCAGCCCGTATCTGCTCTAGGTTACAACATATCTACAGTCAAACGTGCCGCTCTGCTCACGAAAAGGGCTCGGCAAGTTTTTGAGTATAGAATCCCCAACGATGTCAGGCTTGTTTTGTAACAGAGCGCTGCGTATCTCCCCAAGTTACTTCCTCTGCGCGCACTGGAGGATACTTTAAACTGCGTGGTTCCTTGCAAAAACGCATCCGTCGACAGCCATGCAATCCACCAAAGAGGCAGATTTCAATCTGGATACACGCTTAGTGTGACTTTTACTTTTTTGTCTGACTTGTTCCAGGGGTCCCCTATTGGACTCGTTTTCTGTCTCCACCTGAAGTCAGCGTACAAGCCTTGGTGTTAAAATTCATTGTAAATCACAGTATTCGGCCAAACGGTTCCCGGCCCCTCACCCCAAAGTCCCTGAACTAACCACATCCAACGGCACTTTTCACTCCGGCTAAGTGCATTGAGCCTCGGAAGATGCGGTGTTAGTCCAAAGGGTTATTTACAGCGCCCCCGAGAGCCATGGGGCTGCATATTTCACAGACTGGCGGGGGGGGGGGCGCTCCTTGAGAGCAGGCAAAGGAAGCTCGCGAGCTTCCCTGCATCCGCACCCTGGGGAGCGCAGAGCTGCGGCTTTTTCCTAGCGTTGCCGCCGCTACCTGTAGCGGGGCTGTGGCGGCTCCAACACGCCCGCTTTGGCTTGGGGCTAATGCTCCTGTGTTCTCCCCTCTTATGGACAGACTATTTTGAGGCAGATCCGCTGACACCTAACAAATGCAAAACATCTGATCAGAGGAGCGTGGAAAATGGTGGCTCTGCCCGCCAGCCGAGGGGCGTGCGCTATTTGTTCTCTGGGATCCGAGAGGCGTCTCTGCCAATGCTGCAGGTGTTTGGGGGAGTGCTCCAGTCAGAGGCCCTGTGAGCCACACTGGACCTAGTCTCAAGAAGCCACAGAAAGGAGGAGATGCGAAACACCTCACGGAGGAAGGGACAGTGCTTTCAATTATGCGAAATGTGCACGGCTACCCCTCTGATTGCCGCTATACAGTGTCCCCATCCACTGGGTTTAGCTGCCTACAAAGCAGAACAGTAAGTCTGGGGACTGTTCAGTTGAACAAATAAACAAAATAATTTAAATTATATGATTTTGCTTATAAAACTATGTAAATGATTAAATATTTAAAGTAAAATTATTTCTTGGATTTATTTGAGAAAATATTTTAATTTATCACAAGAAAGGTTCTTTTTGGAGAGTCTGCTAATATTTTAATGGTTAATTAATTAGATGAACATTTTATTTACTTCATGCAAATTAATGTTTGTGATCAATCTACATTTCCTGGAGTACGCTAGGTTAAACCCAAGAAAATGACACATCACTTAGTTTAGTTTGTGGATATCATCTTTAAGATCAAGACTTTCCCAAAGCTGGTGGATTCTTTCCCTGCTAATTTGTTCACAACAATATTTATATCCTCTCTTATCCATTAAGTCCCACTAGATGCTACAGTCGCTAGGTGAGTCATTTGCAGTGGTGAGAAGTGGATAGGAAATTGTAATGAGTGTGTTGCAAAAGGCACAGAGCAATATATACCATTTAGTCCCAGTCCTGCAAACACATATGCATGGGAATAACTATACAGATAAATCACATGTATTTACTTATCCTGGGGTTATTCATATGCATAAGTGTTTGCAGGAGCTGGGCCTAAATGTGGAAGTGTAGGGACCAATTCACAGAGGTATCAACCTTTTCTGGGAGCATTTTTGTTTTCTGTTTTTTGTTCTATTTTGCTCTTTTCATTTGGGGGAGTGTACTGTTTACTAGATAGCAAACATAAAGTAACTTCATGACCTTGCAGATGAGTGATTATGGTGTCTGCTTACATGTTATTTATGCATAGGTAACTGCTATGAGTTCTTATCTGAGATCTGAGTGTTTTTGCTTTGCTCTAAGGTTCCATATCACGTGTGCAATTATCCTCTCATTACACAGATCTGGAACACACACAAAATGTGAGACTTTGCTTACTCCACAATAGAGACATTCATTCTCAAGAGAGGTATAATATATTTTGATGTCTTCACAATGGTAAGAAATATATTTAAATTTCTTCAGAGCACACAGGCCAGACTCTCTGTCTGGGAAGCTCAGCCCTTAAAGGCACAGTCCCCTATACCACCTCTTCCCTTCCAAGCCAAAATTTAGTTGGAGGCACATTAACTGGGAAGTTTGGGCAGGAGCTATATCAGAACACACACTGGATCTGGGGCCTATCCGATCCAGTGGTATCTCCCTCTTACTTGGAAGGATGGAATATCCCTAAAGTAGCCTTCACACTCCTAAAGTTGGTCTGGTTTCAATAAAACCAAAACTCAGCAGGGGAGAAGGAAAAGCAGAGGAAGGCCAAAGGGACAGTAAAATAATAGAGAAAAGCACCTAGGACCTGACCTAAACCCATTGAAGTCAATGGGAATCTTTTAATTGGCTTCCATAGGCTTAAAATAAGACCCCTAATGAGGAGAACTGTATAATAGCTGAGATCTTGGCAGCTGAGTGTCAATAGAGCTGTAGCTAGAAACAACAAAAGAGCAGGATATATGCAACGTGGAGTCAATGGAGCTGCAGCCAAATAGAATCAATAAATATAGCTAAAAAATATAGCCAAGGAACCAATTGTTTTACATGATAGCACCACCTATGATCAGAATAGGAGAAAATGTTTCATCTAGGACAAAGGGCCTGATTTTTCTCTCACCTACACAGTTGTAAATCAGAACTAAATACCTTGGTATCAGTGGCACCAAACTGAACCAGATTGTGATTTCATTTCCACTGGTGAAAATTCCATTGAATTCACTGGATTTACATTTGTGTAGCAGAGATCAGATTCTGGACCCTGCATGTTAAACTTCTGCTTTTGTTAAAAAAAAATGAAATGTTAAATACTTATAAAATATGGGCCCAATCCTGCAAGGTGTTCAGCAGCTTTAGCCTATGAGAGACAATGGAGCCAATCTTGCAAACTTTTAATAGCATAACTTAACCCTTACTTATGTGAATGATCTCATTGACTTTCCATGGAACTACTCACTTGAGTAAGTGTTTGTGTAATCCACACCCATGCGAGGCCACACAGAGCAGGGGTGGCCAAACTTACTGACTGTCTGAGCCACATAGGACAATCTTCAGCAATTCAAGAGCTGCACCTGCCAGGGCTCGGGGCTTCAGCCCTGTGGGGGGCTCCAGCCCCACTCCTGCTGAACCCTGAGCCCTGACAGGCACTCCCCGTGGGGCTCATGTCCCGGACCTCCCATCCCACTGGGCAACAGGGGGTTTGTGGGGTCAAGAAATTCAAAATTTTCAATTTTAACAATACATTGCATTGACATTTCTAATTTAATAAAAAAGCCTTGGAAATTTTGACAACATTTTGCAAAACAAATATATATCCCATTTGTCTATCTGTGATAGAGCTGGTAGAAAAATGTTGAATTTGTTAATCAAAATGTCAATGAAAAAGCAAGATTAATTTTTCATTAAAATATTTGCAAAAATTATGTCCCTTTTTTAACCATCTCCATGAAGAATGAACATTATCAATGGAAGATTAACATCAGGCAAAGGATTTTGGTTTAAAGGAACACCACAGCTCCATCTTGCTCAGGACAGCAATCAAAGCTTCATGGGGACAAATCCTGAAGTCCTTGCTGAGTCCTTACTTACACAAAACTCCCATTAAAGTCAGTCTCTCAAACTAGCCATTTGGCCAAATGACTGACACTTTTAATCAGCTGGTCAAAGGACTATGATACTTGGCCATTTGATTAGGTGATTAAAACTTCCTGGCATTTGGCTAAAACATTATTAGGATTCTAAACCATCTACATCAGAACAGATATTTTTATAAAGCAGGGCTTCAATAGTAAATTCAATGCTTACCTCACAGGCCAATACATGTTGATGTTTACCTCAACAAAAGTTGATGTCTGTTTAATGTGTTTCAGTTTAGTGAATTACAATGGTATGGT